GTCCGAAATTACGATAACGTTTCTATCGCTATATCAAATAGATCGAAAACGGTCGGTGATCACGGGACCGCGACATTTTTTCGCCAGACTAATCCACTTTCTGAAATAACCTATTCGCTTGTTATTTCAGGGGTTTTCCAAAAATTAAATATTATTGGAACTAAAAGTAAAATTGAAAACTTGATAAACAGTAGAAAATGTAGTAAATGTTATAATCACTTTTTTGGAATATACCTTACAGTATTATGCATTTTTGAGAAATAGATTTACAAATACTGTTGGAGCAGATAATGTGTAAATATAATGTAATCAATTTAATAATATTAATAATAACCTTATTATGCATTTACAAAAATATAAGGTAATCAAACAACATTAATAATAATTGAATGAAAGATGATAGATTATCTGGATCTAAACTGTCATAAAAAGCCAAAATTGGCATGTAAAAACACGGAATTTTTTAAATACAATTCTTTATTATATTTTTTGAGATCTCTATAATACTATATTAACAAACATTATTGATACTGTATAATAATTGTACAGTGTTCTAATTTTCAGAAATGGAGATGCTAAACAGTGTTCAAAGAATTAACAAGTTAACATTTTTTGAGAACAAACTTTACGTTCATAAGACGGTAAATGAATAATGGGTTGGTAAATTTTATATTTAATCATACAAATTTTTTGATAAATATATTTTATGAATTTAAATTTATGTTAATTTGTTGCATGACGGGTAAAATAATCATATAGTTAAAAGTGAGGTAATAAGTGAAATTGAAGAATATTATATGTGTTTTATACTGTATCTAAACTTATTTAATATATATAATAAAATTATTAAGAAAAGAATTTAACAAATATTTACTAGAGTACAAAGCACTACTTTATTGGATTTAATAGATTGCAGATATCAGGAGTAATCAATGTTGCTCTGTCAGATTTTGGTAGAGGACCTCGTTTTTTGTTTGATTTTATATATATACATGGGAGGTTACGTCGTTCACAATTTGAGCATCTATGAGTCCCAGTGCATTTTTCTTTTTTGATCCTGCAATTCGTACATGCTACTGGAGTATAAGAACGGATTTTTGTTTTTTTAGGATGAAAAGTTGGCTCAGCCATCTCAATCAACTAATTTATCAAAAAAGTTTATTAATAAACAAAGGAAAAAAGTCACCATTTATATAAGTTTTTTTTCTAGATTCCATAAAAAGTATTTACTGCACTTGGTTTAACCATTCAGAAATAATGAAACATATGTAACATTTCACGGTTTTAAGAATTCAATTTTAAGAATTACCTTTATACATAATTTTCCGGAAAAAAATGATGTTCAATATTCCTATTATTTTCATGTGATGCAAATATTTTTCAAACCTGTTTGACGTTTTTAGGCTAAAAAAGGAATTCCCATAGTTGTAAATCATTGTATCGGTATCGGTATTACCTTTACTACCGTACTGTGTAAGTTTACGCAGCAATAAATAGAAAACTTTCGTTTTTTTTAAGAGAGTATTTTTACAATAAATCTATATTTAGTCTTATTATATTTGGAGTGTTTTAATTATTTATTTATTGTTTGATCTATCTTTAGTTCTATGATAAACTTCTAATTGTCAATACTGTATACAGTAAGTTATATGGGGTTTCTATTAGTATTTATTTCTTAATTTAAAGCTTCCTAATAAAATGTAAGAAATAGGAACTGTGCAAAGATTTAGGGTCAATATGGCAATAACTGATAGTAATAATGAATACGTACGGCTTATGCAGAGTGTACGCCTAAAAATCATGTATAAAACAGAACATAATTATTGAGGAAAATCAAAATGAAATTGAATATATTAATACAAACTAGGAACAATATCTACTCTAACGTGAAAAATTATTATACAATATTTATCTAAACTCTACCTAATTTATATATGCCTACGCACTAACACATTTTTATTATAATATGTAATTGTTAGCCACCTAAAAATTACAAAAAAAAAAGGGTAAATTAATTTATTATTGTCTCCTAAATATTACTATGAATGTAAGGTATAAATTAAAACACTATGAAGTTATGATGTAATAATTTATGTATCGCGTTATTTCCGAAGTATAGAATGTTCTTTGAAGAAGTGTAAAAATTTATAATGCTGCACAGAAAGTATAAAAACATATACGTATGTAGGTAATCATAATAAAAATGGTTTAGTTTTGGAGTATCGGAATTATTTTTTATACGCTAAATCCGGGTTTATAAAAAATCGTACATCATAATAATTAGATTATTCGTATTTAATACTAAAAAAGTCTTAGAAGGTATGTAGGAATTATTCATATTTTTATATTGTTCATTGTATTACATACGGAATTACTTATTTTTTTGTGGAAGCATATGAATGCCGCCAAGGAAAAACTTGTCATCGGGCTTTCAATAATACTTTTGTACCGAAAACATTCCCTAATAAATTTTGTCTGGTACAAAATATAATTGAAAAACTGATGACAAGCTTACCCTTGACGGTACTCATATTTGAATATCAAATATGATCCTTAGTAGATTACTATTCGCCAGCAAAAATACTGCGTGCTAAGAAACGTTTTCATTACTTGATACGTACGTACGTACAGTAGACGTTGTTACATGTAGCACAATATCAATATGTGTACAATGTACAGTAGATATTTCTTATTTAGGTACTAACTTGTTTTGGCTTAATTAATATACTATAGATCTATAGTATCTACTGTGATATGTATTACAGAAAATATAAAAAGAGAAATCTTGACAATAAGTACTGTATCCCCTTTAAACATCTATGAATACTTGTGCGAAGTAAACACCAGATACGTACGTGCATACGTACAAGGTCTTCCCAATTCATGTAAAAGTGTTTGGGGGTTCAGTATATAAAATAAACCTATAATTGAAGTTAAATCCGTGATACAAATTGAAATCCAGGGTATTGTTTCTCTACTTACAATATTGTTACAATTACTGTTAAATTTGCAGATACTGCGGTGTTTTTTTAAAAAAAGGAAGAAAGATAAAGAAAAAAAAAAAAAAACTACTGGTAGAGTCATAATGACATTTTTATTGTGTCGCAAATTATGAATTTTGATTGGGAATAACCGCGTTGTCGGACAGATCCGTGTTGGTTCTTCGAACTCAAAATGGTCTCACTTAATTTATTACTGTATTACTTGTCGCAGATTTGCAGACCCTGCAATCATAGAAACCTAATAGTTCCATGCGGAATCTGCACATTATCATGTGAATAGTGTATGAGTCTTTTAGTTCTCGCGGTGGATTTTAATTGGGTACTTAAAAATAATGATGCATACAAAATTATTTTTGCAATGATGAAATGGTTTCGCCAATATATTCATCTGACAAAACTTGACGATTGACTGACCAATTAAATATAAAATATAGTTAATCCTCAATGAGCTTCTTTATAACGACCTGAATATTAAGCTTTTCAAAATCACTATACCTGAATTTCATTATTTATTTATTATAAAGTTTCATAGTTCCGTATGAAAACAATTTAATTTTTTTATTAATAAATTAATTAATGAAAAACTTTTTTCACTAAGTTATTAATTCGTTATAAATAAAATTAACTCTGCAAAAATTAACAAACTATACAAGTATTAATATTATATTTAGGTTTACATTGCATGTGAATCTGAGGCCGTTAATATTAAATTTTTTTTTCAGGATACCACTGGGTGACTACTACCATCATCGAGATTGTCAAATAAGTGTGCCATGAAAAAGATATATAATAATAATTAATAAAAAAAGACCGAATGGAATATGATAATGCAACCATAAAAATAATTATCTTCATATTGACTATCATGAAAGAAAAGATGAATATTCTTATACTTCATTAGTCGTCATAGGTTTCGTCATTCTTGTCAATTCGCCATTCAGAAATTGAGGCTTCATCATTCGTCAACGACTAAAGCCTCACCAATCGTCAGGCATTAACCAACATTAACAAACAGTAGATCCTTGATAAACGTTGCTTATAGTTCTATATAGAATTCTTGCCATACATATGGATCAGCATTGTTCAAGAGGATTAATAGTTACGAATTCTAAAAATAACATCTGAAACCGTTTTACAAGGTTTGAACATTATGTAAAAGAAATTTATCGAATTCTGCATCTGCCTAACCCGTCACATCAAATTCTAAACGAATATCTCAACGATAATCTTACAACGTATTTCCTTTAAGACGATCTTTAATTATTAATAATATATTACCTACAATTTTAGCTAGACTAAATTTTTGCTTGAAAAACTTTTTATGCAGGGTTTCTGAGAAACAGGAGATTTCGGAAACAAATTTTTACTTGAATTTTTCCGATTGTATTACGTTATACTCAAACATGATTGTTTTACGCTACACCACTGTAAATAATGAATTGAAATACAAATTCCTTCGTTTGCTCCGAGAAATTATTTAATTAGGATTAATACAAATTATAATATCTCTTGAAACAGTGAGAGTACAGATGATGGCAGATTTCAATAGCTCTTTTTTATACTATTATACCAAAAAAAAAACCCCCAAATTATTAAATATAAAACCACTTTATAATCTTAAAGAATCCAATAAATGTAATTTTAATTGTTGTAAATTCACCAATCAAAAGAATTTGAAATCGCTGATTAAAAAAAAAAATCTTTACAACAAAACTAAAAAATTGGAAAAGCCAATCGTGTATATTAAATATTTAAGGCTATTCATTTAAGAGAAGTGTTTACTGATTAACCTCACACATAATAATAATGAATAGAAAATGGCACATTTAAGGAAATTTCACTTGTCACAAATTTTTAAAAAATAGAAATGATCGTTTGCGTTACATACGTACGTACGTACAGTACTTACTGTTTAATTATATTTTCATCGGAATTAATGAAACTTATTCCGTTTAATTTTTTTAAATTTTTTTTGAATCTTCAAGTATATATACAATAATGGATTCACGACAAAATACGCTCGAAGTAGTTAGAAAAGATAGTGTTGTTGTTTCGACTACTGAAGCTTTTAGTAAGTCATCGTTTAATATGTATTAATAGTATATATATTAACAAGTTTAAAACAACATTATATAAATACTAATATAATGAAAAAACGATTATTTAGAGAAGCTAGTAGAAAATAATGTAAAAAAATATGATTACTCATCATTTAAAGATCTTCAACGTATTGGCAGAGGTGCATCTGCAATTGTATTCTCTGCTAGTTTAGGAAATGAAAAGTATGCTTTGAAACATGTGACAGATGATGAAATAAGAGTAGCAACTCGTGAGGTAACATGTTATTCATAATACATCCTTGAGCTTTTCAAAATCTAAATCTGTTGAATATTTATTGAATTATTAAATTATTTAGCTTCAAATTCTTCATAAAGTTGTTGATAATATAAATGTCATTAAATTTTATGGAATTTCCGAAGGTATTAACTAAAAAGATTCTCCAAAATGTGTAAATTTATATTTAAATAATTTTAAATAATAAAATTTTAGATCCACAAACAAAGGGTATTGTAATGGTTTTACAATTAGCAAGTGGTGGAAACCTGCGTGATTATTTAAAACGAAAGCGGACGGATGAAATTTTTAAAATTTCATGGATTGATGTTAAACGAATTGCAACTGACATAGCCTTTGGTTTAACTTATTTGCACAATAAAGATATTATTCATCGAGACTTAGTAAGCTATATAACTTTTTTTAAATGTTTACTTGTATTAAATTTTAATTTTACTAAAATTTTAACTTTTTTTAAATGTTTACTTGTATTATATTTTATTAATTTAAAATTTCTTTATAGCATTCTAAAAATATTCTTATAAATAATGATAGGGCTCTTATTGCTGACTTTGGATATTCAAAGCAATTAAATGATGCTGCTTCTTTTACTTTTGATTTTCGAGGCGTTATAGGTTACGTTGATCCTCAACGCTTAAAAAATAGTGCGACAGGACGTGACAAAAGATCTGACATTTATAGTCTTGGTGTATTATTTTGGGAACTCACAAGCGGAATTCCTCCATTTGCAAATTCTGAAGCTATTGAAATAATTCAAAATGTCACAAAAGGCATTCGAGAAAATCCTATACCAGGCACCCCCCAGAAATACTCTGACCTTTATGAAAAGTGTTGGTCTACCGAACCAGATCAACGTCCAGATCTGGGAATGATTGTTCATGATCTTGTTGGGTTATCAGATCTTGATGTTGAATCCATTACTTATGAAATTCCTAAAAATAAAATTGAAAATGATGATTCTCAAGGAGAGAGTAATTATTTTTTTAGTTATTTATATTTATTATTTTGAATTTATAAACTTTTTACATCAAACTCATCAAATTTCAAAATTACAACTGTTTTTATCTTTTAGAAGAGTCACAATTCTTACTCAAAGAATTATGGTCAGAATTTAAAGATTCAACAAATCGTGGAAATGAATTTCAACAAATTTCAAAAAAGATAACAGATTCGATTGAAAAAAATAGAAAAACTTCGGAAGAAATGTTTAATGAACTTAAAGGTCTACCTGATGATACAAATGCACAATGCCTTTTTGGATTTTTTTATTTCATTGGAATTGGAACTGGAACTGAAAAACAACTTAATAAAGCATTCGAAATATTTCAGCAAGTAGCGGATAAGAATAATTCAATTGGGCAATTTTACCTTGGTGAATGTTATAGATGCGGTTATGGAACCAAAAAAGATCCTAAAAATGCAATTGAATGGCATAAAAACGCAAGTGAATCAAGTGAAAAATGTGCAAGATCGACCAATGCTTTAGGACTTTGTTACTTAAATGGAAAAGGTGTTAAAAAAGATAAGCAAGAAGCATTTAAATATTTTAAAGATTCATACGAACAAGGTTGCATCTCTGCATGTAATAATTTGGGAAATTGTTATGAACTTGGAATAGTTGAGGAAAAGGATAAAAAAAAAGCATTCGAACATTATAAAAAAGCAGCTGAAGCAGATATTCCATTTGGACAATGTAATCTTGCGAGATGTTATAAGAATGGGATAGGAACTGAAAAAAATTTGGACGAAGCAAAAGCTTGGTATAAAAAAGCTGCAGAAAACGGCCATAAGGATGCAGAAAAACAATTAATTCAATTGTCTCCAAGGAATAGGGGCTTCTCACTTTTTAATAAGGTATTCAAACTATTAACAAGTATATTTAAGTAAGTTAATGATTTTTATAAAATATTTTTTTTAGGCAAAAGAAAATGATATACAAAGTGATGGAAACAATAAAGCTGCAAACACAGAACATTAAATTACTTTTTAAGTTTACTGAAAACTATTTATTTGTTATCATTTAAACAATAGAACAATTTATAAATTTATTTGTTATAAATTAGTTTTCTTTTTTATAAATATTAAATTGGTATCTAGCTTTTAATCATGAAAATATGATTATAAATTCTTTCTTTTTTTCTTCTAATTAATATATATATACAGTTAATAATATTGTAAAATTTTTAAGATTGGGTGGCATTTATATTCGTTTGCAATTCTGAGTTTGTATTATAACATGATTTAATAATTTAAATTGTATTATTAGATTAAGGTGTATATTGATGTTGTTAACATATGCGCTAATTTTGTTTGTACCCCAAAATTTAAAGGGTATTAGCCGACCGGTAATGGTTAGATTTTTATTTGACTGATATATCATTTATTGCATCGGCACAAATAAACATAAAAGTAATCGATTTGTTATTGATTTGATTGGAGAAAAAAGTAATTGGTTAAAGGGTTGGGTAATTGGTTGGACGCAAACTTTAATATGTAATTTTTTAAGTTTAGGGTACTTTATAGTGATATACACGTCAATTGACTGTCTAATATATGGCCAAAAATTAATAATTTAGGGATTTTTGATCAGATTTTATAAGTTTTAGTGTCCAGAAAAAGGTCCAATAAACAAAATTAGCGCAGATGATAAATAAATATCTTTAAAATATCTAATTCTTTCAATTACGTAAATTATCAGGGAGTAAGTATATAAAATTATTTATATTAACGTTGTCAAATTACTATCTTTTGCTTATTATAAATTGTCAGTTATATGTATATACTTTATTCATAAAAAAGAGATAAAGTAAGAGAGTCTACAATATTAATAGAAGGTAAAGATGGAATCTCGAGTGGGTTTTTAAAGGTAGTAGAATAAATAAGATCAATATAGTTGGCATTAAGTTTAAGTTGATTATTCGATTTTTTACCAAAGAATTGGGTAGAAAAAATTGAAGAAACTTCAAGTGTACAGTGATTAGAGATACAAAGAAGTTTAAGTTTAAACTACAGCCTTGGCAGGGCTTACAAGTGATAGAAGGAAGAGAATAACAAGGTGAAAGGGAAGAATTAATATCATGTTTCCAGTTAGTAATAGAAATTTAGTTGGATTGACAGAAGACTCTTTGAACTTGACCAATAATAATATCATTATTATGGCAGGCAAGCACCCAGGGCTTGTGAGATTTGTTAATTAAATTAGTTTGATAGGCAAATAAGTTAAGTTCAGAAGGTTAAAAGAAGGAAATAATAGTATGAAAGAACAAAAAAAATTTAATTCTTTCTGACAATCATCTGGACCATATTTTCTGAAAATTTTTTGACTAAAAAACAGTAACATAATGCAAGAAAAATGTAAGACATGGGAAAAGGGTCTAAGAAGAACCACACTTGTTGTTTAGAGGT